ATTATCAACAAGTGGCTCAAGGGTTGGTGTCATCAGCAGAATTTTGGATTCTTTGATCATGGGGCAACTTTTACAGCACCTGGCCTGCTGGAACCAGATGGGCTCATCTCTCTGTTAAGGGCAGAAGGTTTTTAGCTTGTGAACTAGCAGGACTTGTTGAAAGGGCTTGAAACGGTCTGAAGGGGGAAGGGGATGCTGCTGGCCTGTCTGGAAGCAGGCCCAAGGGTGGTGAGCCTGAGATAGGAGTGAAATCAGCAGCCCAGCTGAGGTGCACGTATACCAAGGTACACAGCATGGACAACAAACAAGAACAGCTGGAGGTCATGGTACAGCAGCAGAGCTGTGGTGTAATTGCCAACACAGAAATGTGGTGGGGTGACTCACATGGCTGGGGTGCTGCACTGGATGGCTGTAAGTTCTTCCGAAGAGACAGGAAAGGGAGAAGAGGTGGAGCGGTGGCCCTTTATATTAGGGAGGGTTTTGATGCCATGGGTATTGAAACTAGTGACAATGAAGTTGAGTGCCTATGGGTAAGAATTAAGGGGAAGGCCAACAAGGCTGACATCCTACTGGGAGTCTGTTATCGTCCACCCAACCAGGAAGAAGTGGATTCATCCTATAAACAGCTAGAGAATGTTTCTGGATCTTCAGCCCTTTTTCTTGATGGTGATATCAACCTGCTGGACATTTGTTGAGAACCCAATACAGCTGAAAAAAAGCAGGCCAGGAAATTTTTAGAGTTTGTGGAGGACAACTTTTTGTCACAGCTGGTGGGTGAGCCCACCAGGAGATGGACTGTGTTAGAGCTGTTGTTGGCGAATAGAGATGGGCTAGTGGGAGATATGGTGATTGGAGGTCGCTTATGGCACAGTGATCATGAAATTATAACATTCTCAATATTTGGTGAAATCAGGAGGAACATTAATAACACTTTCACATTGGACTTCTGAAGCACAGACTTTGTCCTATTCAGGAAATTTATTCAGAGAGTTCCTTGGGAAGCAGCCCTTAAAAACAAAAGAGTTCAGGAAGGGTGGGTCTGCTTCAAAATGGAGATATTGAGGACACAAGAACAGACTGTTCCTGTGTGCTTTCAGCAGAGGAGTCGACGAGGCAAACATCCAGCCTGGATGGGCAAGGAGGTTTTGGAGGAACTTAGGAATAAAAAAAGCACGTATTATCTTTAGAAGGAGGGTCAGGTCTCTCAGGAAGTATTTAAGGGGGATGCTAGAGCATGTAGGAAAAAAAATTAGGGAGGCCAAAGCTCAGTTTGAACTTAAAATGGTGGCTTTTGTAAAGGATAATAAAAAATGTTTTTATAAATATATTAATGGTAAAAGGAAGAGTAAGATCAACCTTTGTTTTTAATAGATGCAGAAATGAACTTACTAACTGAAGATGAGAAGGCAGAGGTGCTTAACACCTTCTTTGCCTCAGTTTTTAGTGGGAAGACTTGCCTATCCTCTTGGGTTGCTTGATGATATCTGGGAGCAGAATGGTCCCCCTCTTTTCCAAGAGGAGGCAGTCAGAGAACTGCTGAGCTGCTTGGATGTTCATAAATCCATGGGCTCAGATTCGACGAGGCAAACATCCAGCCTGGATGGGCAAGGAGGTTTTGGAGGAACTTAGGAATAAAAAAAGCACGTATTATCTTTAGAAGGAGGGTCAGGTCTCTCAGGAAGTATTTAAGGGGGCTGCTAGAGCATGTAGGAAAAAAAATTAGGGAGGCCAAAGCTCAGTTTGAACTTACAATGGTGGCTTTTGTAAAGGATAATAAAAAATGTTTTTATAAATATATTAATGGTAAAAGGAAGAGTAAGATCAACCTTTGTTTTTAATAGATGCAGAAATGAACTTACTGACTGAAGATGAGGAGAAGGCAGAGGTGCTTAACACCTTCTTTGCCTCAGTTTTTAGTGGGAAGACTTGCCTATCCTCTTGGGTTGCTTGATGATATCTGGGAGCAGAATGGTCCCCCTCTTTTCCAAGAGGAGGCAGTCAGAGAACTGCTGAGCTGCTTGGATGTTCATAAATCCATGGGCCCAGATGGGATCCATCCCAGGATGATGAGGGAGCTGGCAAATGAGCCTGGGAAGCTGCTTTCCATCATTTACCAGCAGTCTTGGCTCACTGGTGAGGTTCCAGGTGACTGGAAGCTGGCCAATGAGACACCCATTCATAATAAAGGGTGGAAAGGAGGATCCCATTAATTATAGGCTGGTCAGCCTGACCTCAGTACCTGGTAAGGTGATGGAACAGTTTATACTGAGTGTCATCACATAGCATCTACAGGATGGCCAGGGTATCACACCCAGTCGGCAGGGTAGGAGGGATAGGTTGTGTTTGACCAACCTGATCTCCTTTTATGACCAAGTCACCCACCTGGCAGATGCAGGAAAGGCTGTGAGTGTTATCTATTTGGACTTCAGCAAGGCCTTTGATACTGTATCCCACAGCAAACTCCTGGAAAAGCTGCAGCCCAGTCTTGGACAGGAGAACTCTGTTCTGGTTTAGGAACTGGCTGGATGGCCAGACCAGAGTGGTGGTGAACGGTGCTGCACCCAGCTCGCAGCCAGGCACCAGTGGTGTCCACCCACAGGGCTCTGTGCTGGAACCACCAGCTCTGTTCAATGTTTGCATTGAGGACATGGATGAGGGGATTGAGTTTAAGGGGATTAAGTTTGCGGACAGCACTAAGCTGGGATCAGTGTGCTGATCTGTTGGAGGGTAGGATGGCTCTGCAGAGAGACCTGGAATGGTTGGATAGATGGGCAGAGGGTAACAAGATGAAGTTTAGTAAGTCCAAGTGCCAAGTCCTGTATTTTGGCCACAATAGCCCCCTGAAATATTATGGACTGGGGACAGTGTGTCTGGACAGTGCCCAGGCAGAAAGGGACCTGGGGTTACTGGCTGATGGCTGGCTGAACATGAGCCAGCAGTGTGCCCTGGTGGCCAAGAAAGCCAATGGCTCCTGGCCTGTATCAGGAATAGTGTGGCCAGCAGGAGCAAGGAGGTCATCCTTCCCCTGTACTCATCACTGGTAAGGCCACACCTTGAGAGCTGCATCCACTTCTGGCCCCCTCAGTTTGGAAAGGATGTTGAGATGCTAGAGCGCGTTCAGAGGAGGCAATGGGGCTGGTGAGGGGCTTGGAACACAAACCCTGTGAGGAATGAGGGAGAGAGCTGGGGCTGTTCAGCCTGGAGAAAAGGAGACTCAGGGGTGACCTTATCACTCTACAACTCCTGAAAGGTGGCTGTAGTCAGGTGGGGGTTGGTCTCTTTCATCAGACAGCAACTGGTAGAACAAGAAGTCACAGTCTCAGGCTGTGTCAAGGGAAATATAGGTTGAATACTAGGAAGAAGTTTTTTACAGAAAGGGTGATAAAGTACTGGAATGGTCTGCCCAGGGAGGTGGTAGAGTCACCATCCCTGGATGTGTTTAAAAAGAGAGTGGATGTGGCACTAGGTGCCATGGTTTAGTTGAGGTGTTAAGGCATCGGTTGGACTCAATGTTTAAGGTCTTTTCCAACCTAGTCATTCTATGAATTCTGTGAATACTGTGGGTTTTTTTCTATTGGCCCCCAATTGCTTGGCTATTTTTGTTTCTTTATTTTTTTGGTTGGTTGCTTGGTTGTTTGGAATTTTTTGGTTTTGCAGAGTAGCAGTAGTGGATGGGTGGGATTTTTGGTTTTCAACTTTAAATTTTTTTTTCTTATTTTCTCACTTTTTTTTTTCCCAATGGCTTCCTTCCTTTTATTATATTATAAAGCATTAATGTTTTTTAATCCTCTTCTCCTGCAAACACAACCATTTCAGTTCCGTGCATTTCCTTGCGTTTTAGAATTTACATTCTCTGAATCAAATTTACTATCTCTGAACAGATATATTTTGGGTTAGCTTTGGAACTGAAACACCCTGCACACCTGCTACTCCTACTTCTGTTTTTCAAGCAATTGTAGTCACGGGAATGTGGGTTCCTAGCCAGCAGCTCCCTTCATGCTGCACAGCTTCTGTAGGCAAATACAACAATACTTGATTTTAAACATATTGAAGCAAAAAAACTAGTGAAAATGGAAATGTTCTGATAATTTTTAAAGAAGAGAAAGGGGAAGGTGGAAGGTAAAAGCTAATACAGGGATTAAAAATATTACTGGATGGCTCTTTTCTGTTGGTCCCTATTTACCTGGAAAATTTTTGTTTCCAGTTTGGTTTAGGTTGGGTGGTTGGTTGGATTTCTGGGTATTGGGGAGTGGTGGTGGGAGGTATGGAATTTGATTTTTGAATTTGTACATTTATAATTTGTTTTATTCATTTCTCTTTCTCCTTTTATTTTTTTCCTACTACAGACATTTATGTTCTTTTTCTGATAAATCAATAATATTTTTGTAATAGCCTTTCCTCCCAACTGCAGCTATATAGGATCCTAGAATTTCCTTGCTTTTAGAAATGTACCTTCTCTGAAATAAACTTGCTTCCTCTGAAATATGTCTGTAAGAATATGTAGAACTTCAAATCACATGTTATTACAATACCTCCTAGGGCAAGAGACTTCTGCCAGTGTCCATTGTCTATTAAAGATTAACATATAATAATTATATGCAATGTGTTTCAAATAAACAATTAAGAAAAGGAGCAAACAAAAGCAAGTACTACACATTCCTACTCTTGTGAGAGATATTTAACAGCAAAAGTAGTTTCTCTCATGATTTGGTTATATTCATTTTTCTTATTCCAGCAAGCTGGGGAGAGTCAAGCAACACAATTGATACTTCGATGGGAAGTGACTCAGTCTTCATTATGCCATCCAGCATATACAATACTTCACCTGGAAGTGACTCAGTCTTCATTACACCATCCAGCATATACTATATTTCACCTGGAAGTGACTCAGTCTTCAGGGCATCATCCAACAGAACCCATAGTGATCTGGAATCAACTCATTCTACAGTATTTCACCCATCAGAAGTCATACTGTGTCTGGAAGTGACTCAGCCTTCAGGATGTCACCCAACAGAACCTATACTGTGTCTGGAAGCAGCTCCGTCTTCCCTATGCCACCCAACAGAACCTATACTGTGTCTGGCAGTGACTCAGTCTTCAGTATGCCATCCAGCATAAGCTACCCATCATCTGGAAGTGACTCAGGCTACTTCAGTATGTCACCCAACAGAACCTATACGGTGTCTGGAAGCAGCTCTGGCTCCAGTATGCCATCCAGCATAAGCTATCCTTCGTCTGGAAGCGACTCAGGCTACTTCAGTATGACACCAGGCAGAACCTATACTGTGTCTGAAAGCGACCTATCCGCCGGTGTGTCATCCTACAGAACCTTTCCTGTCTCCCGAACCAACACTGCCTTTCCTTCCAAACATAACCATTTCCTTTTCATGCATCTCCTTGGTATTTAAAATTTACCATCTCTGAAGTTAATTTACTTTCTCCGAACAGACTCCTTCCGGCAGCCCCAAGGACCCATTTCGCCCCGTGGTCCTATTCCTGCTCTTGGTGGTAAGTCTGCTTGTGAAGAACTTATAGCCATGCGGATGTGGGTTCAGAGCCAGCATCACCCTTCATGCTGCACAGCTTCTGGGGACAAATGCAACATTTCTTCATTGGAAACACAATGGGGCAATAACAGTACTGCTAACATTTTGAAACAGCCGTTTCTTGCAGCCATAACTATTTCAGTTCTTTGCTTTTAAAACCTTACCTCTTCTGAAGTAGTTTTACTGTCTCTGAACGGAGTATCTTTGTATTCCTATTCCATCCCAAGCTCCTCGTGCACCTCCAGCTCGTCCTCCAGCTCCTGCTCCTCTTCCTTCTCCTCCTCCTGCTCGTAAGTGTGTTTTTCAAGCAATTGTAGTCACTGGGAGGTGGGTTCCTAGCCAGCAGCTCCCTTCCTGCTGCACAGCTTCTGTAGGCAAATACAATAACACTTAATGGTAACCACAATGCAGCAAAAAAGTTAGCGCAAACAGAAACATTCAAAGGTGCTCTTCAGAAGAGAAAGGGGATGGTGAAAGCTAACACAGAGCTTAAAATTACTGCTGGAGGATTTCTTTTATAACGAGTCCTTAATTTGCTTTCATAATTTTGGTATTACTCTGGGTTTAGCTGCTGGGTTGGCTGGATTGTTTTGGTTTTGGGGAGTGGTCATGGTGAGTGGGTGGGTGTTGGGTTTTTTTTTAATAGCGGGAGGTTTCTTTCTGTTTTTTTTTAATAACCAAAAGGGTTTTCCTTTCTTTCTGTTTTTTTTTTAATAGCGGGAGGATTCTTTCTGTTTTTTTTTTAATAGCGGGAGGATTCTTTCTGTTTTTTTTTTAATAGCGGGAGGATTCTTTCTGTTTTTTCTTAATAACCAAAAGGGTTTTCCTTTCTTTCTGTTATAAACCAGTAACATTCTTGTAATAGCCTTTCCTTCCAACCGTAACCATTTCAGTTTCTTGTATTTCCTTGCTTTTAAAAAGTGTACCTTCTCTGAAGTAAATTTCCTTCCTCTCAACAGAGCGTTTTGTTGCCTTTCAACCCCAAGGAGCCAGTACACCTCGTGGGCCTCCTCCTGATGGTAAGTCTGCTTTTCAAGAAATTATACTCACTTGGATATGGGTTCAGAGACAGCATCTCCCTTCCTGCTGCACAGCTTCTGTAGGCAAACACAACAGCACTTTCTTGTAATGACAATGGAGCAATACATCTACTGCAAACAGACAAGTTCTGAGACAATTTTCACACAAGAAAGGGGTGGTGTAACTAACACAGGAATTAAATTGTTTTTCCAACTGTACAAGTTTGTTTCCTTGCTTAAAAAACACACCCTAGAAATTATAACGATGGCATGTAAAATATGGCTGTGAGAATATGTGGAACAAGGTGTCATTACAATCCTTCCTAGTGCATGATACTTACGGTAATGCCCTTTGTCTGTTAAAGATTGATATATAATAATTATGTACCGTATGTTTCAAATAAGCAATTAAGACAAGAAGCAAGCAGTTACAAGTACCTCGCATTCGTCCTCTTGTAAGAGGTATTTAACAGCAAAAGTAGATTCTCTCATGATTTGGTTCCATTCATTTTCATTTTTTATTCCAGGACACTGGGGAGGGCCAAGGAACAGAACTTATACTGTGTCTGGAAGCGACTCAGGCTCCAGTATGCCATCCAGCGCAAGCTATTCTTCATATGGAAGTGGCTCAGTCTTCAGGGCGCCATCCCACCGAAACTATAGTTCCTCTGGAATCGACTCATTTGACAGTATTTCACCCGTCAGAAGCCATACTGTGTCTGGAAGCGACTCAGTCTTCAGTATGCCATCCAGCATAAGCTATCCTTCGTTGGGAATTCCCTCAGGCTACTTCAGTATGTCACCCAACAGAACCTATACTGTGTCTGGAAGTGACTCAGTCTTCAGTATGCCATCCAGCGCAAGCTATTCCTCATATGGAAGTGACTCAGGCTACTTCAGTATGTCACCCAACAGAACCTATACTGTGTCTGGCAGCGACTCAGGCTCCAGAATGCCATCCAGCATATACTATTCCTTGTCTGGGAGCGACTCAGGCTACTTCAGTATGTCTTCCAGCGCATGAACTCCTGGGCAGGTGCTCTCTGGGTGATCGCCTTCCCAAAAGCGGTCCCCTCCCTTTACTGACAACCAACTCCCTCACCTTATGCTCAGGCGTGGATTGAATAAATGTACGGTCAACCAGAATATGATGGAGGGCTCTTGACTTGAGGAATCCAACTGGGTATTTTTGCAGGTACACTAGAAGTTGCAGGGAATGTAGGATCCAAGTGAGGTGGAGGGTAGGACAAGGTAGGGGTCCACAACCACAACTGAAGGGTCTCAGAATCAAGGGGCCGGGGAAAATGGGTTCTGCTCTCTCTCACTGAAGCCCAGGACACCCAGGCACAAGGCACTGAGAGCCCCAAGCAGGGCAGGGGACGTGGTGTATAACCAAGGAAGAGTGGAAGGGGTGGGGTACAAACAAAGCAATAGGGTTAGGGTCAAAGGGAGGAGCTCGGAAAGTGTGACACCACCACATCCAATAGCGAACAGAGATGAGAGTGGTTCTGTACAGAGGCCAATAGGTGAACAGGGGGTACAGAGCTTTCTAGAACAGGGGTGTGAGTACCATTTGAATGACAAGGCTAGATTTACACAAAGGAATGGAGAACCTTGGAAAATGTTAGTGGTTCTCACCCTGACTTAGGAGGGAGTTCCTTCCCAGGGTATTCCCACTTCACTGCCTGACCCATGTTCTCCCACATCTCCCGCTGTCTTATTTATTAAAAATGCTTTGCCTGTTGTCTTTTGAAAAGCCTTCTTAAAGCATGACATGGCTATCATGATGGTAGTGATGATAATAAGAACCCAGACGAGACTCTCTAAAATAGAGCCAGCCCACCTGGGGACACCCCAGCACCCAAAAAGTTTATCAGTCCAGTCAGCGATTTGTATGTCTTTGATTTCGTACTGAGGTTCTTTGATGATGTCTTGTCTAGTTGTGCTGTGGGTAGGTAAGTTAAAACAACAAAGTTCTTCGAAGTCTTCACACCCATGGCCATGGCCAAGCAGCAGAAAATCAATGGCCGCTCGTTTCTGCAGCGTGGCATGCCTGGTGGTCTCCTCGTCCGCCAACAGCTCTGCTAACACAATGGACGTAGTGTTGGCCTGCTTACTAAGCCAGCAGCCCAGGTGAGAAAGCTCACGAGGGCCTTCGCAGCGGCAACCCAACAAAGAAGATACATACCGTGACCCTCTTAGTTTTACTCCAATTTTAAATTTTGCTATCACAATGTGCATCAAAGTTTTTGGCAGGCCAGTTTTGTGCTTTGCCTCCAATCAGGTAATAGATGTTTGGGGCGAGGGTAGTCAGCTGACCAAGGCTGCAGGATCATGGAGGGGATCCCTGCCCACACCCTGTCACCACAGGTAAGAAACACCCCCAGTGGGAGCAGCCTGGGATAATGGGTGGACTCAGATACTGTGGCGTTAGTGTAATTGCACCATTCTGCTGCATTATAACATTTGTCATTTGGAGAAACATTCTTTCTGTTTATGCTTTGAGGTACTGTTGAATCATCTCAATTTTGTTTCACTCTATAATGGAAGTTGATACAATAATTCACTCTGGTGGAGCCCAGTAGATCTACTTCCGGGGGCTCCTGGGGTGCATGCAGAGGACCTTTGTCCATTCGTTCCAGGTGTCCACAGGGTTGGGTTTCTTACATATGGATAGTCATTTGGTGACAGGGGGACTCCTACCAGGCATGTTGAGAGTGGACCATCTACACTTCCCATAGCCATGCAAAGATTTTCTTGCTGTAATGACTTCGCCAAAGTGACCCAGCTGTTTTGTTTTGGCCGAGGGACAATCCAGCTGGTGGTCACTTGGATGTAGGCGAGGGCACTGATGACAATGATAGCCACGGTGACACTGGTACTGTTGTAGGGTGCCCTGGAGGTTATCACAGAAAGAGCCATACTTCTTTCTCACCGGGTAGCGTTTGCTTGTGGATGGTAAAAACACACATTAATTTTACTTATTTTAAGACATTCTTAAATAAGATTCTTAAGTTCCCCCTATAGCTCTAACCGACTCCTCCAAGTCTCCCTCTTCTCTTTTCAAGGTAAGTTTGAGGGAGGGGAAAAAGGACTAGTTTTAGGAGGGAAAAGAGGGTCGGGGTAGGGATAAAGGGTTTCTGGTAGAGGGATGGTGGAAAAGGTAGGGGTATGTCTGCTTTTGAAATTGACACAGACGATATCAGTGGGATATATCTACGCGTAGTAAGTGTCCTTGCCACAATGTTGGGGTATGTGAATTTCTTTTTCCTTCATTTCCAAGAGAAAGCTGCTGCTGTGGTCTGGTGGGAGAGAGAGCTGCCGTGACATTCATTCCGAGGGGTCGTCTTCAGATCTGTGATCTAAGTAGGGCTTGACAAATCTTCTGGGAATCCACTGGGGTCCTGTATCTGTAGAAACACAAGCATACCCTCTCCCCAACAAAATGAGAGGGTACAGCCCTTCAATAATTTTAGATTTGGAATTCTGGACAAGTACTGGAGGTCTTTCTTTGAGGTGTGTGTATGTGTTGTTGTGAAAGTGCCTTAAGATGGGGGGATTGGGTTCTCTTTGAGAGCAATTAATAAAGTTTATGATGTAAAGTACTTTGCGCAGTCCCTCTTGGGAAGACATAGTGATTGTAGAATCGTGATGCTGTTCTAAGATTTTTTTTATTTCTTTGTGCGGTCTTTCCACTATAGATTGCCCTGTTGGACTGTGGGGAATGACGGTGGTATGGGCAATTCTCCACTGTTGGGTAAAGTCCTTAAAATTCTTGGATGTGAAAGCAGGATTGTTATCAGTCTTAATGTTCTTAGGGACGCCTAAAGTTGTGAAAGCCATGTAGAGGTGTTTAATGACATCTCTGGACTCTTCCCCGGCATGGGGTGACACAAACACTGCCCCTGAACAGGCATCTACAGATACATGAATATATTTTAGTTTGCCAAAAGGTGGGAAATGGGTTATATCTGATTGCCATATCTCAAGGGCTCCCAAGCCCTGTGGACTGATGCCAACTGCCATCGTTGGCAGAGTGAGGGATTGGCAGTTTGGACACAATTGACTTGGCCTGTTCTCTGGAGATTTTAAATTGTCAGCTCAAGGCTGGGGCATTCTGGTGATAAAAGCAGTGGCTTAATTGAGCTTGTGGAAATATGTCTGGTACAATGTGTGTGGAAGAATTTGTGTTCATGGCCATAGCTATCAGGTTGGCTCTCCGATTACCCTGTGTGATGGGCCCGGGTAGATCAGTGTGTGACCTGATGTGCATGATATGGTACAGTTGCTTTCAGTGGCAAAGCAGCCGGATAAGTTCTCAGAGCAAGGTGAACAATTTTTTGTTTTGAACCTCCTTAACACAGGGCATATTCTGCCCACTCGGGTATCCCAGCTACATAAGCCAAATCTGTAACTAAATTGAGAGGATGCTGGAATTTTCTGAATGCTCTCATGACCACAGGAAGTTCAGTGATCTGAGGGGAACCTTCAACAACCTGGACATTGGATTCCCACCTTCCGGGGGCCGGATTTCTCCAAGTGGACACTGACTTATGGGATTTTCCCAACCTGTCAGTGAACACGGTGAGAGCATTCTTGATTGGAGTTTTACTCTTAAAGGATTTTGGAGCCAGATGTAGAGAATCTTTGAAAAACCTATGTTTTGGGTAGTGGGTTGAAATCTGGCTGGGATAGCTATCTAGTGCAATTTGAAAGTGCTCATTAGTCTGAAATAAAGAGTACACTTGATCTAGATTGAACAGTAAAAAGATGCATGCTGGGTCACACCCTGCAAGGGTTTGGAGGCGACATCAGCCTTTGGTAATTAGCTGAGATACCAACTCCTGAGGAGTGGTTACAGTCTTCCGTGGCTGATGGGGAAGAAACAACCACTCGATAATAAGCAATGGGTCCTTGGACACATGATCCTATTGGAAGATGCGAGTGTCATAGCGTGGTGGCTTACCTAGGACTACCACGTTCAGCGGGAGGGACCAGTCCACCAAATGGGCCTGATAGGACAATAGAGAAGCGGCAAACTTCTCCAGGGCCTGGCATGCCTCTGGTGTTAGGGCACAAGGAGAGGCAAGGTCATGGTCACCACGGAGGAGGTCAGAAAGGGGCGCCAGCTCCTCAGTGGTTAGGCCCAGGAGTGGTCAGATCCAGGTGATGACTCCACAGATCTGCTGCAGGTCCCGCAGAGTACGTGGGTCGTTTTTGATGGTGAGGTGTTGGGGCAGGACGGTCCTTCCTGTAATGTGGAATCCTAGGTATTTCCAAGGATTGGAGAGCTGTATCTTGTCAGCTGTGATTTGGAACCCAGCTTCTTCCACAGCTACTACTGTCTTTTCGAGTGTGGTCCTTAAATATGTTTCAGTGGGTGCGCACACAAGTATATCATCCATGTAGTGTAAAAGAATTGCCTTGGGGAAGAGTTTCCTCACTGGGGACAGTATTTGGGCAACAAAGGTTTGGCAGAGCACAGGGCTGTTTTTCAAACCCTGAGGCAAGGTGACCCAGTGGTAGCATCCGTAAGGTTCTTTGCGGTTGATAGACGGTGCAGAAAAAGCAAACCTGGGCGTGTCTTTGGGAAACAGCAGGATGTTAAAGAAGCAGTCCTTGATTGTGAGTTGCGAATCCCTTGGAAGCATAGAGGGAAGGCCAGGTTGCAGGGTCCCATGTCTTCTAACACTGCATTTAATCTGCGCAAGTCTTGATGCAGGCACCATTTGTCTTTGCCTGGTTTCTTAATGACAAAAACTGGGGTATTCCAGGGGCTATTCAATGGTACTACGTGCCCCAGGCACAACTGTTCTTTAACTAAGTCATTGAGCACATGTAACTTTTCTTCGGGAAGTTCTTGGGATTTCCTCTGGTTGAGATGATCCCGAGGTGGGAAGAAGAACAGGACAATGCCCAAATCTTCCTCCATCTTGTCTCCTAGACCCCCATAGTCAAATTCTTCAAAATTCCACCTTTCACCCTGTGGCAGCTACTGTTAGGCTACTTAAACTTTTGTGACTT